TTCTGAGGCGCTATCACTACAGAAGTAGATTGCCCAACTTTCCTTCCGAGGAATGGATGGTGGGTTTGAACTGCTAGCCTTCTGGTTAGCAGTCAAATACCTTAGGCACTACACCACCAGAGCTCCTCACCCACTATAGGCACCACACTCAACTACAGGGAGCAGCTGCTAATGAACCTAAGTTCTTTGCCATGTAGGAGAGTAGGTTTTTTGTTGCCAGATAATTCATTTTTTAAAAGTAAACACAGAAGTCTGAATATTTATATGAAATCTCTGAATATGTAAATATTGGCAACTGTATTGGACCTATAGTTGGCTACCCAATGGCAATTTCTTCCTGTACCATAATAAATAGCAAAGTCTGAAATTTATCACAGTGACCATCCCTCCACCATTGGACTCAGGTAAATACTAATAGGTGCAAGTCAATCATGGTAGTCTCATTCCCCTTGGCAGCCATCAATTTAGATGTGAGCAGGTGACCTAGTTCTGGCCAATAAGGTGTGAAGGGAAGTCTACTAGAGGGTTTTAGGAAGTTTCTTAACTCTGAAAATAAGTCATACAAGGGAAAAATGGCCCTAGTCTATTTCTGGATATTGGTTCCCATCAGGATATGATGCTTGGAGCTTCTGTAGTCATTTCTAACCAAAAGGAAGCTATAAGCAGAGCAGAAAGATGGAGATAAAGTGAGATCTTGATATTGTTGAGCCATGGACATAACCAATCCTGGAGCCACCTTGTTTCCAGATCTCCTGTTATGTCGGGTAATTCACCCACTTATTTAAGTAATTTTGAATTACATTTTCTGTATTTTCAGTTTAAAAGATCATAAATGATACAGGGGGTTGAAGAGTGGATTAAATAAAAGATTGTTGTTGTTGTTGTTGTTGTTAGGTGCCGTCAAGTCATATCTGACTCATAGTGACCTTATGTACAGCAGAATGAAACACTGCCCAGTCCTGTGCCCATTCCACAATCCCGGCTATACCTGAGCCCATAGTTGTAGCCACCGTGTCAATCCATCTTGTTGAGGGCCTTGTCTTCTTTCGTTGACCTTCCACTTGACCAAGCATGATATCTTTTTCCAGGGAATGGTTTCTTCTTACAACATGACCAAAATAGGTGAGATGAAGTCTGGCCATTCTCGCTTCCGAGAAGCATGCTGGCTGTGCTTCTTCCAGGACAGATTTGTTCGTTCTTTTAGCAGTCCATGGTACTTTCAGCATTCTTCGCTTCCATTTTTGCAGAACATCAATTTTTTCATTAATGACCTGGTCTTTGGAACATAAACATATCAGTAAGTGAGGACTAGGTATATATTTTTTAATGAATGTTTCTCCTGCATTTTTCAAGCTAGCTAAGAGCTCCTACCTGCCTTCTTGTTTGCATGGGTTAGGCTTCAGATAAGATGCAAGCCACTACTGTGTCCTACACCAAGCATCAAACTACAGTGATCTTCTCAAAGACTTCTTGGTAATGGTAATAAATGAGCTCAATCATGTCTGCAGCTCTGGTAACTTATTTCTGAAGATGCTTCTTACTACTACCAGTTCTGTAACTGTAGTATTCAGCAACCATTTTCTTTACTCCTGATATTCTTTGATCAGAAATCTGCTTTGTTTGGTATGAATATAGCCAAACCAGCTTTCTTTTGATTAGTGTTAGCATGGTGTATATTTTCCCATCTATTAACTTTTAAGTTATTTGTGTCTTTATATTTGAAAAATCAAACACCCAAACTAGTTTGAGTCAGTTCCTACTCATGGTGACCCCCTGTGTCAGAGTAGAACTATTTCTACAGGATTTTCAGTGGCTGACTTTTCAGAAGTAGATCACCAGGCCTTTCTTCTTAGGTGTCTCCTATAGACTTGAACCACTAACTTTTTGGTTAGCAGTTGAGCACATTAACTGTTTGCACCACCCAGGGACTTCTTATACTCAAAGTGGGTTACTTTTAGGCAGCATATAGTTGCTTTTTTTTCTTTTCTTCTGTTTTTTTACTCTTTAAAATTTGTCTAATGTCTCTCCCTTTTATTTGCAGCAGGCTCTTTCTAATTCACTGCTTTTAAAAAGAAAAGAAAGAAAGAAAGGCCATTTCCTCCTTTTCTCTCTGCACCTAGGAATCATTATTCCTAACACGTTTGAAAAGTTATTGTACCTTACATAAATTTACATGGTGATGGCAGGTGGTTTAGAAATCTAGCAGTAGCTGATAGGAATGTGTGAGGGAAGTTAGAGGCAGCAAGAACCATTAGTGGGCTTTTTCAGTAGTTTAACTAGTATACAGAGGCTCTGATCTTGTCAGAGTCCTCTGGAGAAAATCATTCTCACTGAAGGAAGAAACAGAAGTTGGTAACAGGTTGTTTATAGTCGCCAAATCTCTCTCTCTCTGGGTCTCTGGCTAAGTCTTAGTCTCCCTCTTTACTGAAATAATGCAAAACAATTTCAGAGTGTCTGAACTGGAAAGGACTTTGAGCAATTAGTTCCATCTCTCTTTTATAGTGGAGGAAATGAAGTCAGCAAAGTGAAATAATATGCCTCAGGTCAGGCCCTGGGTTAGTGGTGGAGCTTGGAATACAGTGAAGCCCTTTTCTGATTTTCAGAAAGACCCAAGAACCTTACTGATTTAATGTTAACTTTTGTGTTCTACTCAAAACAAAACAAACAAACAAGTTAATTTCTACTCTTCACCCTTGTTTTGGTTTCTGGTCCTACTTAGAAAGAGTCTAACAGAAGTAACAAATAAGGAAAGACAACAATTAAATGAAACACAAAGACTGCTAACACAGATCGATTCAGAGAACAACTGGGACACACAGATAAGTGAACCCAGTGAAAGAAAATGAGACTAGAAGAGTCTAGAAGACTAGAAGACAGGGAGAAACCTGTCATGTAAGATTATTAGCCTCATGTCGTACGGGTAAGGCATTTGGTTACTAACCACAAGGTTGGCGGTTCAGACTCACCAGCTGCTCCATGGGAGGAAGATGAGGCAATCTACTTCTGTGAAGATTTACTGCCTTGGAAGCCCAATGGGGGTTGCTGTAAGTCAGAATCAACTAGATGGAAGTGGGTTAGGTTGTTTTTTGGTTTTTTTTTTTTGTTTGTGGACTTTTCTGGATAATGCTTCTAGAGTCGATTTTTGAACTAAATAATAGTCATAACTGGAGACCTGGATTAGATTTGGAATAAAGGTACTCAAACATTAATGTGCCTGAGAATCACCTGGAGAGTGAGTACAAATGCAGATTCCTGGGCTTCTCCCATCATGTTGTTGTTGTTATGTGCCGTCGAGTCGACCCCGACTCATAGCGACCCCTCATTGGGTTTCCGAGGCAGTATCACTACGGAAGTAGGATTGCTCTCCCATCATAGATGTGAGTTAATCTGAAATGAGCTCAGGAATGTAAACATTTAGCAAACTTCCCAGGAGGGACATTGGCCACATATAAGAAACACTGCAGAAGGCAGTAAGATTTGGGGATAGTCATCTCCTTGACACTGTAGGGAAAGGACTATTTTGAGGAAAAGTTTGGAAGGAAATTCTTAAGAACTCTAAAGTTCTTTACTTGCAAGCTAACAAGTTAGCCTGCCACATTTTCATGGATGCTGGTACAAGACATGACACTTCCAGGTCATTGACAAAAGTCTGTTTATTATTCACAGCAGTAGTAGTTGTCAAAGTATTATCATCCAGGTCAGTTTCTAGAGCCCCAATTTCTAAGCTAATGAGATTAGAGCCAGGTGAATGTAACACATTCTGGGAGGAACCCTGAGATTAAAGAACCAGAAACCTTTATAATGGAGGGTAAACCTGCCTGAAACCAGAAAACCAAACCCTTTGCCATGGAGTAGATTACAATTTATAGTGACCCTTTAGGACATAGTAGAATTGCCCTTTGCCTGAAGGGAGACACCACTCCTGCCTTCTAAGGTTGTTCACCTTGGAAAAGACAATCAGTTCTTCTCACAACACATAGGAGAGATCTGTCTCCTGTGGAGAACACTCTCCTGTGGAGAACAGACAGCAGGAATGGAAGTGTGTTAGGTAAAAAGGAGTCCTCCACCTAGAGGCTGTAAAGTGAAAAAACTGAGGTAGGAATTCAGCCCCACAATGTTGTTGTTGTTATGTGCCGTCGAGTCAAACCCGACTCACTGCGACCCCTCCTTGGGTTTCCGAGGCAGTATCACTACGGAAGTAGGATTGCCCAACCTTCCTTCCCCACAATATCAGGCAAAAATTCAGTCGAGATTCTGGTTCCCACAGCTATCTTTGTATAAGTAAGTCCTTATTTCTTTGTTTTAATGGGAGCCTTGCCTGAAGTTATGAAGACTTTCTAAATTCACTTCACTTTAATCCTCGTATTTCTTGTAGTTATTAGGGTCATTTTACCAATGAGAAACATATTTTGAAAGGTTATGGCGTGTACACTTATCAACCATAGACAAGAGTCCGAGGTCTTCTGAGTACCTCCTTCTTCATTTGTCTTCTCTTTGCCTCAGTGCGCCAGGATAAGACTGGCCAATACTAATAAACAATGGAAGCGCTCTAAGACCACGCCTCTATTTCTGAAACAGGAAGTTGGACATTCTGGCTTCGGTCATCAAGCCGGCCAGAAATTTCTGAGGTTCAGTTACGCAAAGGATTCTTGGACTCATTCCCATGTCAAATCGGAAATAGGTGTCCCAAAACACGGAAGTACCTACCAGCACAGTACTGGCCTGGCCTGCCCCGCCCGCCAAGATTGGCGGGAATCAGATAGAGCAAGGACTACCCGGCACAAAGGTCCCGCCCCGCTCTTCCGGGATTTCCTGGGCCGACCGGAACTGGGGCGGAGCAGTCCGGCTGCGCCTGCGCGGTGTCCGACTGCGCCTGCGCGGTTGGCCAGCGCCGTTACCATTCACTTTTCAAGTGACTCCGTACCGCCCATTTTAGGGCTAGCTAGTTGGTGGGAGTGGCGGGAGCGGAAGTTGTGGGAACTTCAGTCCGAGCTTCAGCGATGCAACCAAGCCCCGTCGCGTCCCCCGGGCCTTCCCGCTCTTTCAAGGAGGAGCTGCTCTGCGCAGTTTGTTACGACCCCTTCCGCGACGCCGTCACTCTGCGTTGCGGCCACAACTTCTGCCGCGTGTGCGTGACCCGCAGCTGGGAGGTGCAGGTGGCGGCCACCTGCCCGGTATGCAAGGATCGCGCCTCCCTAGCTGACCTCCGCACCAACCACACCCTCAACAATCTGGTGGAGAAGCTACTGCGCGAGGAGGCAGAGGGTGCACGCTGGACTGGGCACCGATCCCCGCGACTCTGTCGCCGGCACCGCGCCCATTTCAACCTCTTCTGCGTCGAGGACAAGGAACTGCTGTGCTGCTCTTGTCAGGCTGACCCCCGGCATCAGGGACACCGCGTGCAGCCAGTGAAGGGCACTGCCCACGACTTTCGGGTACGAACGGCAGTAGGCGGGAGGTAGGCAGGACGGTAGATCATGGATCGGTGCTTAGCCGAGGTCTGGCCGCCCGGGCAGTGAGAGCATGTGAATGCCCAGAGTCTGGCCAGACTGATGGTCTCTCGCCCGAGCGCACACGTGGTGAGTAATCCGCGACTGGAATTCAACATCCTGATTCCACACCCGCCACTCCAACCTACCAGAACTGAGTAAACGTAGTCCCATTCTTTCTTCCGCTTCCAGCTTATTGGTTCCTCCTCTAAATATCCCCTTCCTGACTCCGGTTACCTGCAGAGGCCTCTGTCTTGTCAGGGCTGGTCCAAGGGGCCAAGATGAGAGAAAAACAATGTAAACAGGAAGTGAGAGCTGGGCTTATGTGTTATTTCAGTACAGCTCAACTTCTGAAAAGCTTAGGCCTCACACCTCTGTGCCGGTGGGGAGTGACCCTTACCTACCTGTGTGAGAAGCACAGTCCTATGAGTAAAGCCCCGGAAGCCTTGAGCTTGGCATACTCAGTTTAGATGTGGAGGAGGAGCCCAGGACCTGGCCAGGGATATTGAGCTCTAAGATCTCCTGAAATTGATCACCTCTTTCCTATAGGAGGCTTCTGGCTCCAGCCAGCTCATTTATTCCATCACTCAGCATCCCAATGCCTAGAGTTCCAGTGGCTATAAATAAACCAAGGGACAATTTACAATCAAAACTAACCTGGAGAATTTTTTGGTAGAGGATAGAAGAATGGTCAAAAAATAAGATTTTGCCTAGCTGAGGATTTTTCAAAACTTCTGACCTTAGCCCATAGGAAAAAATATATTTTACATTGTGACCCAAAACACCCATAAATATATAATGTTCAAAACAAAAGTTTTGTGACAATGTCCATTGTACTCTGACTTTTTCTATTCTTATTGTAGTATTTTTTTTAAATCTGCAGGTTGTGAAGCATTACATTTATTTAATCACTTGCTAATAATTGGGTCATACCCACAGCTTGGAAAACACTGGTTACTAAACAGGAGGTATTTCAAGAACCCCAGTGCCTGGTCTCCAGACACTGAAGGCTTGGGATGAGGCAGAGTACCAGGTCCTGATCTGAGAGAGCTGAAGTAAACGTATGAAGGGGACCATGGGTCAAGCCATGACTAATCACAGTAGGGCTGGGGAGGTGCAGATCAGGACATGGGCAGGAGTCAAAGGCTAAAAGCACTAGGCAAAGGCGCCAGGTTGAGGTCAAGTCAGGATGCAAGAGCAGTGAAACCAGACACTGGAATGGTGCATTATGATCTAAAGACAGCTTTCTATTTATTCAACAGGTGCCTTGTACTGCTAGGTCTCAGAGATAAGATAGAGAATAATTCCTACCTTCAAGGAGCTTTAAAGCAGAGACCTGAGGGATGAGGAGGTGTCAGCTAGGTGAAGAAGTTGAAGGAGGGTATTTGAGGTGGAGGCAGGGAAGCCTGAGTTTCTAAGCACCAAGAGAATTTCAGAATACAGTACTTAGAATGGGGAGATTAGAGGTTTGAGTCTGCTCAGAAGTACCTCTGAAAAAAGATGTGGAGATCTGAAAAATCAGCCATTGAAAACCCTATGGAGCACAATTTTGTTTTAACACATGTGAGGTCACCATGTATTTGAATCAACTGGATGGCAACTGGTTTGTTAGTGTAGGGATGGTGAGGGAGGAGAGACAGGCTGCCTAGAGGCTCAGCCTTTACCATTCATAAAAACTGTAGGGAGCAGTTGAAGGTTGCTATCTGAGGGGGTAGGGAGTAGTGTAGGCCCAAAAGATCCAAGGAGAATACAAGCTGAGTGGGGTCAGGTTGATGCAGGGTGGAATTCATTCATTTATTAAGACACATATGTACTGGGTGCCCATCATGTCCTGCGACCTCTTCTGGATGCTGAGCCTACAGAGGTCAACTGATAGGCCCCTAGCTTCACTGAGCTCATATATATGCTTTTTTTTTTTTTTTTTTTTTGAGAAGTCAGACAGTAAATAGACAAGATAAAGTCAGGTAGTAAAACTTGCCATGAAGGAAATACAGAAGGGTGATGAGTGAGGAATGGAAGGCAAGTGCATTCTTTACAACCCACTGCTGTTGAGTCAGATCTGACTCACAGCGACCCCTCCTTGGGTTTCTGAGGTGGTAGATTGCCCAACCTTCCTTCCGAGGAGTAGCTGGTGGGTTTGAACCGCCAGCCTCTGGTTAGCAGTCACATGCCTTAGGCACTATGCTGCCAGAGCTCTCGCATTCTTTACAAAGCCCCAGAAATAAGAATGTGTGGCAGAGTCTGTGACTTCCAGGTTGTAGTCTGTATGAGTGGACAGTAGGTGGTGGAGGGGGAGAGCGAGTGTTATGGGAAGAGTCAAGAAGTGAAAAGGGTAAGCTCAGAAAGCTGTATGCCATATGGAGGAGATTTTAAGTAGGTGATTTGGTGATGAGATGTGTGCTTTAGGAAGATCATTTGGGCAGTCATATGAGGAACTCAAGAAAAATAATCATACCAGCTAAGGCTTTTTGAACACTTAATAAGTGCTAGGCACTTGTAAGTGTTTGCATGTGTCAACAAATTTAAATCCTCATAAAATCATTTCTTATTGCTGCTGTAACAAATTACCATAAATGCCACTCCTCGGAAGCAACATTGGGCAATCTACTTTCGTAGAGATACTGCCTTGGAAACCCAACAAGGGGTCGCTATGAGTCGAATAGACTGAAGGGCAGTGAGTGGTTTCAAAAAACACAAATTTAGTATCTTAGTTTTGGAGGTCAGACATTCTAATGTCAAGGTGTTGGAGGTTCCAGAGGAGAATCTATTTTCTTGTTCTAGCTTTTAGAGGCTGCGGTGTAGTAAATTACTTAGTGTGGCTTTTCTACCCATAAGTCTTTGTAAACTCCAAGGTGGGAATTGCTATTAGCAACTGAGGAGATCCTGATTTTAAAGTCGCCCACCTGGAGTATTTCTGTTGGGCGTGGCACAATACAATGTTCTGGGAGGTTCCCACTCTCTCTCACGTGCTTAGAGTTCTGATGCTGTGATTGGCTAGTTTGACCACCCTTCCGGGAGCAAAAGGAAGCCTCCTGGAGGCAGAACTCTCTCTGACTGCTGGTGGAGGAAGACATGCTGCTGAAAGAGACACGCACCCCTGAAAGAGACATGTGCTGCTGGGAAAGAGACGTGAGAGACACGCATTGCTGAGTGAGACACCGAGGGACCAGCACTGCTGGGAAAGAGACTGTGAGAGACTCTTGGCTGAGGGACGGTGGGCTGGGAGAGAGACTGAGCGTTCTTCCTGAACTTGAGTTGTAGCCTGGTGCTTCCCTAATAAACCCTGTAATCTGTGAGTTCTGTGTGGCCACTGCAGTGAATTATCGAACCCAGGAGAGAGGTGGTGGGTGCCTTGGGAGGAACGGTTGGTGAAAGGGCTGGAGGGAGGCAGCATGTCTGGCCTGGCAGTAATAGGCCTTGGGTTACTGCTGGTAATCCTGCCTTTCCCTTGTAGGGTTAGAGGAGGTCAGAACATGTGGCCTCCTTGCCGTTTTTGTAGAGGCCCTAAGGAACCCTGGGGGTGCAGTGGTTAAAGTGCTCAGCTGTGGACCAGATAGTTGGTGGTTTAAAGCCACCAGCCATACCTCAGGAGAAAGAGGAGAGAGTCTGCTTCTGTTAAGATTTACAGCCTTGGAAACCCTCTGGAGCAGCTCTACTCTGTCCTTTAGGGTCACTGTGAGTTTGGTTTCATTTTAAAAGCCCCTTCCTTTATCTTCAAAGTCCATCATTTTATTTCACCTTGCCTTTAATGACTCTAACTCTACTCCCTCCCTCTTATAAGGTCCCTTGCTTGTGTTTCCCTTGGGTCTGATAGGATAATCTCCCATCTCAAGATCCTTACTTTAATCACATCTGCAAAATCCCTTTTGTCATTGAAGGTAATATATTCACAGGTTCCAAAGATTAGGATGTAGATCTCTTTGACAGCCATTTTTCAGCCTGCTACAGTTAAGTACTGTTTCCTGATTTTACACACAATGAAGTTAAGTCTCAGAGAGGTTAAATTACTCATCTAAACTCACAGGGAAGAAGCTCTAGAGTTCACCTGGGATGTTCAGCTCATGGACTCTAAGAGAACCTTCTCTTATCCCAGGGTAAAACTTTCCTTACTGGTCCTGTGTTCTAGGAGCTGTGTGGACAGCTGTTGGGAGAGGGGGAATAATGGCAACAGGTATTTATTGAGTACCTGCTATGTGCTGGGCCTGGTGTGAGGTGCTGGGGATGCAGTGGAGAACAGAACAGTCCTACATCCTGCCTTCTTGAGAGTCAGGCATGGATGCAATAATCACACTAAAAATTATGTAGTTTCGGACTGTAACACTGTGGAGGACAATATGGGATGTGACAGGTGATTGTAGCAGGGAGGCCTGATTTGATCTAGTGCGGTACAGGAAAGAGTCTCTGAGGAACTGATTTCACAGAGACCTTAGTCTACGGAGAAGTTAGTGAAGGAAAGGAGCAGCTGCCACAGTGATGGTGGTGCAGGTGACACGCAGCATGGGCATGCAGCACCACTGGGGCAGATTATTATAGCCTAGAGAACTGAGGGTCAGTTGAAATAACTGGGAGGAGTTCTGGGTGAGGAATGAAGATGCTGCAGGGCTCTGAAGGGCATGTTCAGGATCTCTAATCTTTTGCTAAGTGCCATGGAGCCCCATGGGAAGGACTGAAGAGATTTCAGAACGTGACTTAAATGTCTAAGTAAGAGCTCCAGAATGAACTTGGAATTTGAAGGGACTTTAGGAAGTCCTCTGCAGTATTTCTCAAACATGAACAATGGACGCACTCTTCTTAAAAAAAAATATTCCAACACGGTAACTTCAGTTGTTACATGATTTATATATGTACAAACACAACACTAGTATAACTTCCTCTTGTGTCAGAGTTAGAGGCTGCTCCATAGCATTTTCAAGGTTGTAACCTTTCAAAAACAGGTCACCAGGCCTGTCTTCTGAGGTACCTCTGGGTGGGTTTGAACTGCCAACCTTTTGGCTAGTAGTTGAGTACTTAACCGTTTGTACCACCATTAATGGTATTAGAATTATTTTTACTATTGCTCTAACAGAAACCTTGAAATATTTTCTTTCTCAGAGAAAGGGATCAAGATGGAGGGAAAATGATAAGTCTTAGATACAAAAAGTAGGAATCCAGCCTAAAGTGTGTAGTGCTTTTTTAAGTAAACCAAGGAGATCAGAATCAATAATTAAAATTAAAAAGGAAACTAACTTTACTAAAAAAATACGTGAATTTGCTTGTTAAGGTTTTGGCATGATTCAAGCAATATTAGAATATTGGAATAAAGGCAGAGGTAAGGGTGGACATGTACTTTAGGTCATGGGAAATAACTGTTGTTAGTTGCCATCATGTTGGCTCTGTATCGTGGCAACCTTGTGTATAACAGAATGAAATGTCCAGTCCTGTGCCATCTTCACAATCGTAGGTTTGTCTGAGTTTGTTGCTATGGCTATTGTGTCAACCCACTTATTAAGGAATTGACTCATTTTTGTTGGCTCTCTTCCAAACGTAATGTCCTTTCCTAGTGATTGGTCTTTCCTGATGATCTGTCTAAAGCAAACTAGTCGAAGTCTTACTGTCCTTGTTTCTAAGGAGCATTCTGGTTGTTTTTTTTTTTTTTTGGTGCTTTTGCATGTATATGAGATGATTGAAAAGACCATGGCTTAGGTCAGACATGCCATGGTTTTTGCTTTTTAATTCTTTAAAGAGGTCTTTTGCAGAAGGTTTGCCCAGTGCAATATGTCATTTGATTTCTTGGCTGCTGCTTTCATGGAAATACTGTACACTATAGGAAGTAAATGAATCACTTTGTAATCAGACTTGGTCGTTAATGACTGCAGACCAGTTTATTTAGAAAGTAAAGCAAGGAGCCTGTGTATGCAAAAAGGGCAAGGAGGCCACATGTTCTGACCTCCTCTAATCCCACAAGAGGAAGACAGGATTACCAGCCTTAACCCAAGGCCTATTACTGCAAGGCCAGACATGCTGCCTCCCTCCAGCCCTTTCTCCAGCCGTTCCTCCCAAAGCACCCACCACCTCTCTCCTGGGTTTGCTAATTCGCTGCAGTGGCCACACAGAGCTCACAGATTATGGGGTTTATTAGGGAAGGACCACAGGCTACAATTCGAGTTCAGGAAAAATGCTCAGCCTCTTTCCCAGCCCACCATCCCTCAGCCAACAGTTTCTCACAGTCTCTTTCCCAGCAGTGCTGGTACCTCGGTGTCTCACTCAGCAACACGTGTCTTTTGCGTCTCTTTCCCAGCAGCATGTGTCTCTTTCGGCAGCCCGTCTTCCTCAACCAGCAGTCAGAGAGATTCTGCCTCTAGGAGGCCTCCTTTGGAGCTTGGCAGAGTGGCCAAACTAGCCAATCATAGCATCAGAACTCTAAGCACCTGAGAGTGAGCCTCCCATAACATTGTGTTGTGCCACACCCAACAGAAATAACCCAGGTGGATAACATTTACAATCAGGAGCTCCTCAGTTGCTCATTCCACCACTGAGTTTACAATGACTTATGGGTAAAAAAGCCATACTAAGTAATTTACTACACTGCACCATACCAACTTTGTAGTCTTGCTCACAGCTTAGGGATTCACAGTCCAGCCCAGACCAGCCTTAGGCCCAAGCGGGATGTTCTTCTGTGCTGTAATGTGACCAACTTGAGAGAGGACAGATCCATTTACCTCAGAGGTACTGTCTCTCCATCAGTACCAGGTATAAAACAAAGGGGCTGAGCTAAAGGATAGGGCCCTTGATGTTGTAAGCTTTGGATCCAAGGTCATAAATTAAACTTATTATTCAGTTGTGCCCTATAGTGCGTGACATGTTCCAGGCTCAGTAAATGTTGTTGAGTTATTTTGATGTTAAGATGGAATTCCAGTGTTATGTGGCTGCCATCCCTGACCCGGTCTCCAGCCCTAATTTGCCTTTTTGTTTCCCTCTGGTTCCTTCCCATTAGGCCAAGTGTAAGAACATGGAGCATGCACTGCGGGAGAAAGCCAAGGCCTTCTGGGCCATGCGGCGCTCATATGAGGCCATTGCCAAGCACAACCAGGTAAGTGAAGGCTCAGGCCAAATGGGGAGGCTTGGGAAGCTGGGGAGAGGGAAGATGTGGCTGAGTCACCCTCCAGTGACCATTGATGCAGAGTCTGCCCTCCTCGGCACTGAGGGCCTTGTACAGCTGGGCCCTCTGCAGTCTGTGTCTCCTCTGCCTTGGCCCCTTTAAAGACCTGGGCATACCCATGGGAGCAGCTTAAAAAGCCACCAAGGTTTTCTGTACTGTGGCTGAAGAATAACTTTCAGCACCTGCTATATTTCACCATCTACCCATTTGTTCAAGCAAATGATGACCTGGGAGTCATTAGTGAGTCCTCTTTCCCCTCCTTCTCCACTGCTCACGCCAGCTGGATTACTGTCTGTCTTAAAATATATATCATGTCTGTCAAGTACTCTCCATCTCCACAGCTACCATCCCTGTCCAGGTCACCATAGTCTCTCACCTGGAGTACTTCAGAGCTTCCTAACTAGACTCCATGTGTCCCTCATGTTCTGCAATCCACTCTCCATGGACTGAGGGGTCTTATAGAAAAATGCATTGATTATGTCACTCCTCTGCTTAAAACTGCCCTGTGACTTCCTGTCACACTCAGAATAATGTCCAGACTCTTTACCGTGGCCTCCAAAGCCATCATCTGACCCCTGCCTGCCTTTTCATCTTTCTCTGCTGGTACCCTACTTCTGCCGCACTGACCATCTTTCTTAAACAAGCTGAGTGCCTTGGAGGCTTCTTCTCAGATCCTACCACACTCAGCATCTCTGTCATTAAAATCTCAGCTCAGATGTACTTTCTGAGAAGCTTTCCTCAATCACCCCAGCCTAAGTAACTTTCCCCTTCACTCTCTATCATATCTCCCTGCTTCATTTTCTTCATAACACTTCATCACTTATCATCTTTTTTATTTTCTATTTATTTTGATATTAGAATATAGTGAAAACAGAGAACACTATTCCCAGTATCTAGAAGAGTTCTTGGCACATAATAGGTGTTCAATAAATGTGTGTTAATTGAATGGATGAATTGGTTCACCCCGTCTCCTGTCAAGTTGTTATACATTGGCACCCTCTCTTCATCTGAATCTTACTTGGATTGGCAACCTGCTTTCTGACTGTCTGAATCTGGCCTGTCACTTCCTGAGACTGTTGCTTCTTGTAATTACTGCTCAGTTAGCCATCACAGCCACAGATGAGACATACCTGGCTCAGGCTACTGGCTTCTGCTTGAAAGGGCCTGCAATGCCCAGCAGTGTTCATGTGTCCACAGAAGAGGATTAGGCTTAAGAAAAGATCCTCATTAACATCTGGCCAAGGAGTTTCCACCAGAGCCTAAGAGCTGGTGGTACAGAGCAACAGAAGAATTGCCAAATGTTAAGAAACTGGACAGAAACTTCAAAGCACACCTATTTTCAAACCCAAGCCTGGTTCTCCAGGCAAACCCTCAACCTCTCCAAATGAATCTCCTCATCTGGAAAATGAGTACAATTCCTTGTTACATGAGGGGTCAATATGAGTCAGAATCAATTCAACAGCACCCAATAACAACAAAAGGAAATGTCTATGAAGTGAGTAGCACAGAGAAGTCATTCCTCTAATGTCAGTCCTTATGTTTCTTATGCTTTACAGATGGCCTTCGTTATCTAGCACTGCTATAACAGAAATACCACAAGCGGGTGGCTTTGACAAACAAATTTATTTTCTCACAATTTTGGAGGCTAGAAGTCTGAATTCAGGGTGCTGGCTCTAGGGGAAGGCTTTCTCTGGCTGCCACCTCTGGAGGAAGGTCTTTGTCTCTTTGAGTTTTTGCTCCTAGATGATCTTTATGTGGATTGGCATTTTTCTTCCCCATCTCTGTCCTGCTAACTTGTTTACTCTCTTATATCTCAAAAGAGATAGACTCAAGATACTCACTACACTAAGCCTGCCTTAACATAACAAAGAAAACCCATTCCCAAATGGGATTATAACCACATGTATCACCCAGAACCCACTGCTGTTGAGTCTATTTCAACTCACAGCAACACTTTTAGACAGAGTAGAACTGCCCAGGAGGGTTTCCAAGGCTTTATGGAAGCTGACTGCCTCATCTTTCTCCCTTGGAATGGCTATAGGATGCGGTGTACTAAATTACATGGTATGGCTTTTCTAGCCATAAGTCTTAGTAAACTCTATGGTGGAATTTGCTATGAGCAACTGAGGAGCTCCTCATTGTTAAAGTTATCCACCTGGGGTATTTCTATTGAGAGTGGCACAAAGCAATGTTTTGGGAAGTTCGCTCTCGCTCTCAGGTGCTTAGAATTCTGTTGTTACGATTGGTTAGTTTGGCTACTCTGCCAGGCTCAAAAGGAGGCCTCCTAGAGGTAGAAGAAGTTTCTCTGACTGCTGGCTGAGACGGACGTGCTGCTGAAAGAGGCACACTCCTGAGAGACGTGGGCTGCTGAGAAAGAGATGTGAGAGACACATCTTGCTGAGAGACATGCACTGCTGGGAGAGACTGTTGGCTGAGAGACGGTGGGCTGAGAGAGACTGAGGGTTGTTCCTGAACTTGAATTGTAGCCTGGTGCTTCCCTAATAAACACGATAATCTGTGAGTTCTGTGTGGCCACTGCAGTGAATTATTGAACCCAGCAGTAGAGAGGCGGTAGGTGCTGCGGGAGGAATGGTTCGTGTCAGGGTTGGTAAAGGGGCTGGAGGGAGGCGGCATGTCTGGCCTCACAGGGATAGGCCTTGGGCTACTGATAGTGATTCTGTCTTCTTATTGTGGGGTTAGAGAAGGTCAGAAGATGCGGCCTACCTGCCCCCTTAGCATGGATTCAAACCACTCACCTTTTGGTTAGCAGCTGAATGCTTTAACCACTGAATCATCAGAGCTCCTAACCCCAGGCATAAGGCTGAGGATTTAAAACACATACTTTTAAAGGACACAAATCAACCCATAATGCAGACCAGAAAGCTGGTTTGAGAGATGATGTGTTTTCAGTGAGTCATTTTGCCATTCTGTTGTCAGAGCCATAAACATATATTGGAGTGTCAGTTGAAAGATGGGATTAATAACCCACCATTGCTAGAACACACATGCTGAGTTGTTTTTCTAATAGTGATCTGGATATTATAGAGCTTCACCTCTGGGCTTTCACTTAATTTCTTTTATGACCAAAGCTATGTGACTGGCTTGCCTTGTCAGGAGTCCATGTTCCATTGACCTGTCTGCCCAGTCTGCAGTCATGGTGGAACTCTAAGTTTTTTGCTGGGTAGCAGTGGTGGTTCAGTGATAGAATTGTTGCCTTCATGTGGGAGACCCAGGCTTGATTCCTGGCCAGAACACTTCATGTGCAACCACCACCCACCTGTCAGTGGAGACTTTTGTATGGTGGTATGAGGCCAAAGAGGTTTCAGTGGAGCTTATAGACTCAGCTGATTAGGAAGAAGGGCCTGGCAATCTACTGTCTAAAATCAGACAGTGAAAACCTTATGGGTCACAATGGTCCAATCCCATTGTACATGGGGTTGCTATGAGTTGGGGGCTGACATGACAGCAGCTAACAACAATAATAAGTAGCTTTTTGCTGAAGCAAAGGGTCACGTGGTTAGGTGTAATGCCTCTAAGGATTCCAATTTGATTAATATTATCCTTTTGATTCAGTTAACTCAGCTTGATGAGTAGAGAGAAGTTTTGATAATTACCGTGAGACTGTCATTTCCAGCAGTGCGATGGCTAGGGTTTACTTTGCCCTTGGTGGCTTTTCTTGCCTTGCTCTGTTCTTTACCTTCCAGTGTGATAAGAGTCTTCCCAGGTACTACTTTCTCCAGCACTATCCATTATCTGTCTTTTACTTAATATTTACCAGCCTGATATTTCAACAGTGCTAACTGTTCTTATTTGAGTTTATTTGATGATTAGCAAATTTTTACATCACTTCACAAATATAATAGCCATTTGCTTTTCTCTGTGATTGGCAATTCACATTCCTTTTTTCTTGAGATATTTGTTTTTTCTTCCAGTGGATTTGTCAGAGTGCTTTGTATATTCAAAATAATAATAATAGTCTGTAATAGGTACTGTAAACATTTTTCCTAGTTTGTCATTACTTTTTCATTGAATCGTTGTTACTTTTTTTTTCTTTCATTTGCACTTTTTCTGGGAATCATTTTGTCATCATATTGTCAGAGCTGTAAACATACATATTGGACTTTCTATCCAAAGATAGGGCTACTAACCTGCCATTGCTATAGCACATATTTTGAATTGTTCTCCCAGTTGTGGTCATGCATTTTATTTCATTTTTTTATTGTGTTTGGGTGAAAGTTTACAGAGCAAACTGGTTTTCCATTCAACAGTCCATACATGTTCTGTTTGTGATGCTTACTGCAATCCCCATACTGTAACAGTATTCTTCCCAATTCCTCTCTGTGCCCACCTGTTCCCTTCTTTCTTCCTTCTCATCTGCTCCCAGCTTCCTAGCTCTATCCTGTGGGCAACTGCTGCCCTCTTGATCATGTATTATTCTAATAAATGCATACTCTCCTGATATGACCGTTCATCTTGTAAGTCTGTCTGTTGTTTGGTTGCCAGTTGAGTTATGGGAGTTAAGTTCAATTCTTAACTTGAAGGGTGTCCAAGGGCTACAATTTCAAGGGTTCCACCAGTCTTCATAACATCAGCAAGCCTTGTCTTTTTTATGATTTTGAGTTTTGTTCCACATTTTCCCCACTCTGTCTGGGACCTCATATTGTGCAGAGTGCCCAGCAGTGGTAGCCAGGCACCATCTAGTTCTGGTCTCAGGTTCAAGGAGGCTGGAGTTCACTTGCTCCTTAAATCCGTTGGTCTAATTGTTTCCTGTATTTTTTTTTTCTTTTCTTCATTCTTCTTTTCATGCATTTTATTTATGTATTTATTTTGTTAATAGTCTCTTGTCATATAAAACTTATTTTTGTATGTATTTCATCTTGTCTGCGTTCAGTTATCTCATTCTTTCTTTGGGGCTCCTCAGCTTCGTATTATACTTAAGAGAGGGCTTTCCCATTCCAAGATGAGAAGACTGCTTTTTCTTCGAGTTCATTTATAACTTTGTCCCTTCCCACTCTGTTCTACAAAGACTCCCCTGTTACTTTTATTTGCTCTTTGAGTATGCTTATGACTTTGTTAAATTTGATCTAAGCTTTTCTTGTTATGATGAGGAAAATGCATGTGATTCATGATTTATTTTTAAAATAAATACTTACTACTACTGTTGTACCAAGCCTTTAAAGCATACAAGTTTGAAGTACGGGGATCGGAAGACAAATTTTAAAAGCTTTTTTAACAGTTTATTTCTTTCATGCAGTATTTTCCTTGCTTACGATACAGAACATTGTACTTTGAAGGGGTTTTAGGACTATAGTTGTCACCTATAGACAGTGATTTTATTTTATTTTTTAATTTATCAAAACAATCTCATTATGCTGTTTGAATTTTCCATTTTAAATTTGAACTTACAAATTTATGCGAATAAAAAACTACCCTAGATTTTATCTGTTTGGGTGCTATATATGGTTTCTTTTGAAATTAGAGTTCCTGTTCTAAAGATCTGCCTTAGGGGAGCAGTAACATTCCATGTCTGACCTTCTGTGACTTGAGGGCACTTAGCTGCCTCCCACTCTCTGCCATAGATGGAGACTGCCTGGCTGGAAGGTCGAATCCGACAGGAGTTTGATAAGCTTCGAGAGTTCTTGAGGGTGGAGGAGCAAGCCATCCTGGACTCCGTGACTGAGGAGGCCAGGCAGAAGCAAGTTCTGGCGGAGGAGAAGATGAAACAGCTTGCGGAAGAGACGGAGACACTGGCACATGAGATTGAGCGGCTACAGATGGAGATGAAGGAAGATGATATTTCTTTTCTCATGGTAAGGAGTTATCATCCTAGTTCTAGGGACTAGAGGCAGATGTTCAGGAACCAGCGGGAGCTGTAAACCTCCAGCTCAAGCTGATCTGGTCTTCTGGTAGCTTCCTGGACACTGGCCTGAAACAGCTTACAGATGGGGTACTCTACTTGCATAAAAGGGCTAAAAGATTTTCATTAGGTCTCTTCATATCTCTGTCCTTCCCTCTTCTTTTGCTCTGTCTTTTATCACTCTTTCTTAATAAAACTGAAGGAGCTCTAGTGTGGTTCAAGTATTGGGCTGCTAACCAAAAAGTCATTGGTTTGAACCCACCAGCCACTCTGCAGGAGAAAGATGAGGTAGTTTGCTTCCATAAAGATTTACAGCCTCGAAAACTCTCTGGGGCAGTTGTACTCTGCCCTGTAGGCTCTCTGTGAGTCCAAAAGGACCCCATGACAGTGAGATTTCTTGATACAATTTTTTAATTTAAATATAAAGATGATGCCACTCTTTTATTTTTTTTAAATTTTTTAATTTTATTGTGATTTGGGTGAAAGTTTACAGAGAAAATTCATCTTACATACAGCAGTTCACATACACTTTGTCTTATAGCATTGAGTGTAATCTCCCACAGTGCTACAGCTCTTCTCCCACTTCTTCCCCATAGCCACCTCTTCCTTGTGTCCTGCCATCCCCTGCACTCCTACCCCCCAAGCTGTCTCCCTGTACATATACAGCCCTTCTATTCTCCTATGATTGATTTCTCCAAGGAGTGTATCTGCCTAATGTAAATGTCTAGCTCACATGCCTGTCTTTTGTTTGACTGGAAGTCACAGGAGTGGGTTCAATTTCAGACCTGAATGGCAGCTAGGGGCCATAGTCCTAGGAGTTTCACCAGGCTCTATCAGACCAGCAAATCTGGTCCCTTTTTTTTTTTTTTTAAATGATTTTGACTTTTGTTCCATATTGTTCTCCCACTCTGTCCAGGCTCTCCTACATAGATTCCCCCTGCCTCTGACTGGTTGACAGTAGTAGCCAGGCACCATCTAGTTCTTCTGGTTTCATGGTCATGTAGGCTGAGGATCGCATGCATGGTGTAATAGTTGCTTGGACTAATTGTTTCCATGCATCTTTGGTTTTTTTCATTCTTCTTTGCTCTGGATGAGGAAAGGCCCATTGTTGTATCTAGATGGCTGCTTGTAAGCTTTTAAGATCCCAGTCGCTACTTGGCAAAGTAGGATGTGGAACAATATTCTTGTATAGTATATTATGCCAAATGAGCTGGATGTCCCCTGTGACCCTGGTTCCAAGCCTACAGGTCCAACTACTCGCTCCCTCTGGGTAGCTGGCTATGACCAAGAAGGTACTACAACATTGTCCCTTGTCAGCTCTACTATATACCTGGGAATTCTTACAGAATATGTAAATACACTTGTAGAAACATTGTCTGCCAACACTATACATGGTCATGGGCACACTACCCTCTGCATAGACATACCTAATTGTTCAGCCTGTGTACCCATCTATCTACCTGTAGATCAATGTTTGCCATCACTGACAGTGCAGTACTGCATGTGCAGAAGGGTTCATCTTTATTGTCTGTACCTCCCATGCACCTCTCTGTCTTCTTCTTCCTTAATGCCACCATGTTGATTGCTCACATTTGGTACATTGCCCTTCTCTTCACCCAAATCAATACTTGTCTCTACCTATCTAGCAGTGTTCCCTCCCCTCGCCCCCGGTAATCAACAAAGAAAATTTCCTTCCACATAAAAACCTTTCCTTGACTTTTTACAATAACAGACTAATATAATATTTGTCCTTCTGTGATTGACTTATTTCACTCAGCATAATATCTTCCAGGTTCATCCATGTTAGGTGGTGTTTTGCAGATTCTACGTTATTCTTTAGGGTTGCATAGTATTCCGTTGTGTGTATGTACCATAGTTTGGTTATTCATTCTCCTGTTGATAGACACCTACGTTGTTTCCATCTTTTGGGCTATTGTAAATAGTGCTTTGATGAACATGGGTGTGCATGTGTCTGTTCTTGGCCTGGCTCTCACTTCTTTAGGATGTATACCTAGTAATGGAATGGCTGGGTCAAATGATATTTCTAATTGCAACTTTTTAAGGAATTGCCATACTATTTTCCACAGTGGTTGTATCATTTTACAAAGGATGATTCTACTCTTTAAAAAAAAAAAAAATGGGTTTATTTTTCTCCCTTTCATTGAATTCATTTTACCCCTGTCAGTCATTGGATCTTTACGGAGAAGTTTGCCTAATTTGAAAGCTGGTTTAGAAACTTGTGGAGATAGAGAGGTGTATCTCCTCTACTTGGAGAATGGTTGGTTGCTCTGAAAAGGAGAGTCTTTATAGAACACAGTGGGAAGGGACAGGGACATCTCTGCACTCAGGCAGGATGTCACTTCCTGGGTGGGGCCTTCACATGTTCTTAGCATCATACAAAGCCTTGAATCGTGATGTCTCCTGTCTCCAAAATGTCCTGATTATAAAATTATTTGCTGGGCTTCTTATTGCTTCTGGTTAGGAAATTGGGAGTGTTATCTTGCTCAATACTGAAATGTGCTTAAAGGGATCATTTTATGATATCTTTTTATTTATTTTTTCAATTGTGATATATTCACATATCATACAATTCATCCATTTAAAGTGTGTAATTCAGTGGCTTTAGTATATTCATAGAGTTGTATAGCCATCACCACAATCAAGTTTAGGACATTTTCATCACCTGAAAGAGAAGCTGGCATCCTTTGGAAGTGCTCCCGTTTCCTCCTTCCCCTGGTGACCACTGATCTACTTTCTATCTCTGTGGGTTTGCCTATTCTAGATATTTCATATAAATGGAAGTGTACAATATATCACCTTTGGGGACTGACTTCTTTATCAAGGTTCATCTAGCTTGTAGTATATATCAGTACTTTGTTCCTTTTCATGCTGAATAATATTCCACTGAATGGGTATAAACCGGAAAAAAAACAAACTCACTGCCGTCAAGTCATATCCAACTCATAGTGACCCTTCCTTGGGTTTCTGAAGCAGTATCACTACTGAAGTAGATTGCCCAACTTTCCTTCCAAGTAGTGGCTGGTGGGTTTGAACCACCAGCCTTCTGGTTAGCAGTCATATGCCTTAGGCACTATATCATCAGAGCTCCCATTGAATGGGTATACTACATTTTATTTATCCATTTATTAGTTGATGGATGTTTGGGTTATTTCTACTTCTTGGCTACTAGGACTAATGCTGTGAAGATTTATGTACAAGATTGTATGAGCATATGTTTTAATTTCTCTTGGGTGTATACTTACAGCAACTCTTATGTTTAACCTTTTGAAGAACAACCAGACCTTTCCAAAGTGGCTGAACTAGTTTACATTCTCACCAACAATGTATGAGGGTTCTGATTTCTCTACATTCTTATCAATACTTGTTATTATCTGTCTTTTAAAATTTAACCATCCTAAGAGCTCTGGTAGTATAGTGCCTAAGGCACTTGACTGCTAACCAGAGGGCTGGTGGTTCAAACCCACCAGCCATTCCTCCGAAGGAAGGTTGGGCAATCTACATCCGTAGTCATGTGTCATAATCAACTCAATGGCATTGAGTTTGGTTTTTTGGAGTAGATATGAAGGAGTATTTCACTGTGGTTTTGATTTGTATTTTCTTGATGGCTAATGATGTTGATCATCTTTCATATACCTTTAGGCCATTTGTTCTTTTTTGAAAAATCATCTACTCAGATCCTACGCTTGCTTTATTTGTCTTTTGGTTATTGAACCACAAGAGTTTTTTCAGTAGATTTTACATGCAAATCATTAACTCCGTTGTAAGTTGGTTCTTATGTAAGTTGAATACCTTTTTTTTTCTAGTTTTCTATATTTGTTTTTTATTATCAGTGTCTTTATGAATCCAGTCTTTGAACACCTGCAAGTGAACATCTGAGAAAGATAACATCAGCAAATTACATGTTGCAATATTGTGTATAGTACATACCACTAATGATAAAATGTATCCTCCCCCCCCAAAAAAAAAAACAGCAGATGGTTGTAAGTGCAGTTTGTCATCACTAATACATCATAAGTCCCATTCTGTGAGTTATTTTTTTCACTTTCCTACGAGCAAGTGTCTTTTGAAGCAGAAAAACTTTTAATAAAGTACAATTTATTTTTTCTTTTTTTGCTTGTGCTTTTGGTGTCATATCTAAGAAACTATTTCCTAGTCCAAGGTCATAAAACATTTATGTTTGTGTGTTCTTCTAAGAGTTTTGTAATTTAAACTCTTAAATTTAGTTTTTGCTCAATTTTGAGTGAATTTTTATATGTACTGTGAGGTAAGGCCCAACTTTGTTCTTTTGTATGTGGATATCCAGTTGTCCCAGTATCATTTGTTGACAAGACTATTCTTTCCTTATTGATTTGTCTTAGCACCCTTGTCAAAAATCAATTGACAGTAAATTTCAGAGTTTATTTCTGGACTTTGAATTCTGTGGCATTAAACTATGTATCTGTCCTTATGTTAGTACCACACTCTCTTGATTACTGTTGCTTTGCATTAAGTTTTGAAAATGGGAAGTGTGAGTCCTCTAACTTTGTTCTTTGTTTCTAAGATTGTTTTGGCTTTTTTGGATTCCTTGGATATCCATGTAAATTTTAGAACCAGTTTGCTAGTTTCTATAGAGAAGCTAGCTGGAATTTTGGTAGGAATTGTATGGAATCTATAGATTAATTTGGGGAGTATTGCCATTTTAACACTATTAAATCGCCTAATCCATGAACTAAGACTCCTTTTCAGTTCAGAAACTTAAATTTTTTTTTTTTTAAATGTCTGTATTTTTCTCTCTTTCAGAAGCATAAGAGTCGAAAACGACGGTAAGTTGCCAAGGCCGATGAAGGGGTCAGGGGAAGAGCAGGCAGAAATACCAGGGTACAGTCTCTGGTGGCTCCAGGGCCAACAGGTAATGAAGCGAGATGGGTATAACACAAGAAGAGTGGTGGGGACTTCGGTAAGATGGCAGAATAGGCAGACAAGCTACACAAATCCTCTTCAACAAAGAAAAGAGAAACCAATTGACAGAGATACAGAAGATAATCCTGGAGCCCTGAGCTTTGAAAAGAAGTATACAGAAGTGGATTAGGCACTAATTAGTGGGAAAATCTGAATGAAAACAGTGAGTACAGAGATGGTTGGAGCAATGGACTGTCAGCTACTCTGACAGGGTTAACAGTCTGAATATTTCCAAGTGGTGTTAGGACCTGAGAATTGACCTGAAGATCAGTCCTAGTTCCCAAGGGCTGCAGGGACAACTGCACTGGTAGCCTATGACTAGGAAGGGAAACAGCAAGGAGGGAGACTTTTTCCTATCTGGATGATGCAGCCATTTTGATTGTTTACAAGCGGTGGCCATTTTGGATATAAATTGACTGAGATCGCAGTCATTTTGAATGTTTACAAGCAGTGGCCATTTTGAATTTTAAAGTGACAGCATTCTCATTCCAGAGACCTAAGAATAGGCTGTGTTTGCCAAGGTCAGCAGGGATATAGGGAGGCTGACAATGGGAAAGGAGACGGGTGGTGAGTGTATAAGTTCTGCCAACTCACAAATAGAGGAGCACAGCACAGTACCCTGCTTACGTAGATAACATCCAAACAAAGAAAATTAAAATCGTGGGCAAGTTACTCCAACATACCAATTAAATATAAACACAAAAATGCCACAATGCCTAGGAGACAACAGAGCATCACAATCCACACAAAGAAGGAAGGTAAAGCAGGAGAAACAAGGGACCAGGCTACAGATCCAAACACATCCCTGAGGAAGGTGCTGCATTGGAACTCCCTGATAAGGAATTCAAAAGAATTATATTTAGGTACCTTCAACAGATTGAGAGATAGATCAAGGAAAACACTGACAAAATTGAGGAATACACACAGAAAAGCCTAGAACAATTTCGAAAGATGATAAAAGAACAAAATGATAATATAAATGAAAAATTAGAAATGATGTAAAGTCTACACACAGTAATCCAGAAGATTAATATTAAATTTCCAGAAATAGATAACTCATTGAACAGGCAAAGGAGTAGAATTGAATCAATGGAAGACAGAATTAGTGAAATTGAAGGTAAATACCTAAATACTTCTTTGGAAAGGGATCAATCAGAAAAAAGATGAAAACAAAGTAAAGAAAGCCTAAGGTTTATGTGGGATACCATCTAAAGGAATCACCTGTGTGTAATCAGAATTCTAGAACAGGAAGAGAAAAATAAAACCCCAGAGAAATTGTCGAAGATTTATTGGAAGAGAATTTTCCTGGTATGATAAAAGATGAGAATATATCCATTCAAGAAGTCCAACAAACCCCAAACACGATAGACCCCAAAAGAAAATCACCAAGACATATCGTCATACTTACCAAAACCAAAGACAAAGAAAGAATCCTGAAAGCAGCACAGGAAAAACAAAAAGTTACCTACAAGGGGCAACCAATAAAACTAAGCTCAGATTTCTCGGCAGAAACCACGCAGGTGAGAAGACAATGGGATGGTATGTATAAAATCCTGAAAGAGAACAATTTCCAACCAAGAATTATACCCAGCAAAACTGTCCCTCAAATATAATGGTAAAATTAGGAGATTTCCAGGTAAGCAGAAATTAAGGGAATTGGTTAAAACCAGACCAACCTTATAAGAGATGCTAAAGGGAGTCCTTTGGACAGAGAACCAACAACCGCCAACAACAGCTGACCATTAACACACATGATGACATAACCCAGAAACCAGCCCACTTATAAAAGTATCCAAAGTAAATAAACCTACAAGATTGTGAACAGGGAACCAGAGATATCAGTTGACAAATGAAGACAACTGAAAACCAAACAGGGAAAAAATTGTGTAGTTACAGAACTTCTAAATGGTAGGGAAGTCAAGATGAGTGCAAGATAGAATGGACTAAACTTGGGAAGAAAATTATAAATCACAGGGTAACCTCAAAGAAAAATGATCAACCTTCACATCAAAATAATAAAGAGGACCAGCAGAAATATTTAGCAAATACTAAAACAATAGCAATGAAGGAAGTGATAACATGATTCGTAAACAAAATGAGCTCAGCACAGAAAATTATTTGGAATAAAGAAATCAACACCATGAAAAGCACATAACAAAATGACAGCAACAAATTCATACTTGTCGAAAATTACATATCTGACAAGGGTCTTATCTCTAAAATTTATAGAAAACTCCAACACCTCATTTAAAAATGGGCAGAAGACATGAATGGACACTTCACCAAAGGGGATATTCATGCAACCAGCAAATGCATGAAGAAATGCTCATGATCATTAGCCATCAGAGAGATGCAAATCAAAACAATGAGATACCATCTTACTCTGGCACGAATGGCAAAGTTCAATGAGACAGAAAATAAATGCGGGAGGATGTGGAGAGATTGGGACTCTCATACACTGCTGGTGGGACTGTCAAATGATACAAATACTGTGGAAAAAAGTATGACAATCCTTTAAAAAGCTGGAATTAGAAATACAATATAACCCAGCAATCCCATTACTAGGTATATATCCTAAAGAAGTGAGAGCCAGGATAAGAATAGATATATGTACACCCATGTTCCTTGCAGCACTATTTACAATAGCCAAAAAATGGAAACAACCTAGGTGCCCATCAACAAAAGAATGGATAACCAAACTATGGTACATACACACAATGGAATACTTTGCAACACTAAAGAATAACGTACAATCAGCAAAACACTGCATAACATGGATGAACTTGGAAGACATTGTGCTGAGTGAAATAAGTCAATCACAGAAGGACAAACATAGTATTAATTCTTTATTGTAAAAAGTCAAGGAAAGGTTTATGTATGGAAGGAAACTCTTCTTTGTTGGTTACCAAGGGTGGGAAGGTAGAGGAGGGAACACTGCAAAAAAAAAAAATAATAATAATAATGCATTGACCCATGTCACTTTAGTTTTGTGTATTTCACTGTACATATATTTCAATAAATTGCATTTAAAAAAAAAAGAGTAGTGGGGACTGGTTACTCTAGAGAGAACCCTTCTTTCAAGGTGTTCCCATACTGATTATATGCTGGATCACAGGAGAACTTAGTCATTCTCCTGAGTGTGGAGAGTCACCATCTACCATAAAAGAAGGAAGAGTGCTCTCCTCCACTTAACTCACTATTCTCATTGAGACTCATTATTTGTCAGCCTCTACTCTGAGAGCCTTAGTGCACACTAGTGTGTGTTGACTGTTGTTAGGGTCACAGATGAACAAGGGAAGACTTAATTTTAGTCAGAACTGCCCAAAAATAGAAGAGTCCTTTGGGCAGTAGTGAGTGCTTGGAGGTGTTCAAGCAACAACTGGGACTACTGGACTAGATGACCCTTAAAATCTTGTCCAACTCAGACATCCTATGAGTGGATGTGTAAATATAGTTTCTAACCTCATACTTATATTTACCCCACGTGCAGCAGGGCACTTCCTCAAACTGAATCCCTGGTGAGTGGGGCAGCCCAGTTTGCTCCTGGTTCATCTCCCAGCAGCCAGTCTAGGTTTGTCTCGGGGAAGGTGGTCGGGAAATTTAGACCTAAGGAAGTAATGAGTCCTATTCCCTGTTTCCAGTTGACCCCAGTTAAGCCCACGATCCAGGTGACCCCTGCCCGCCATGCCCATTTCTCCTTTCCCAGACTCTTCTGCACCATGGAGCCAGAACCCGTCCAGCCTGGCATGCTTATTGATGTCTGCAAGTACCTGGATTCTCTGCAGTACCGTGTCTGGAAGAAGATGGTCACGTCTGTTGAATCTGGTGAGTAGGGGCAGGGGGAAGGTTAGGTGCTACAGGTCAGGAGGGAAGCACTTCCTGCTGAGCAAAGAGCCAGCTGAACTTCTTCAGGTTCCCACCTTATCACACCTCTCTTCATCTCCGCTCATCTTTTCTGAGCAGGCCCCAGTGTCCTGTGCTTTAGTCCTTGCCCTCACTGCTCACATCCTCCTGGCAGAACTTGTTCCTCTTTGGGTTCTGACTGTTTCACCTCTTCAGGAAGAGAAACTGACTACCTCTCTGTTGAGATTCCTGTTGTATGTGTGATGAAAGACCTTCTCACTCCTCAGAAGCCCCTTTATTTCCAAGATCACCTACCTCTCCCAAGGTGAACCCAGCCACATGTCTATGTCATGGCGTTACAGGGAGAAATGTTAGCAATCCAGGGGAGTATCATGTACTTTTCTAAGACATCATAGGGCTGCTCCCTCTGTGGACTGGGGCTAGGGAGGTCATAGTTGGTCAGTTTGGGGAGAGTGGAGACATCACTTGGAAGAAGGAAGGGATATGAGATTTGCTGATCCTCACCCTCTTACTTTTTTCTCCTCTGTTCTCAGTGCCCTTCAGCTTTGATCCAAACACGGCAGCTGGCTGGCTGTCAGTCTCAGACGATCTCACCAGTGTCACCAACCATGGCTACCGGGTCCAGGTGGAGAATCCAGAGCGCTTCACCTCGGCGCCCTGTCTCCTGGGCTCCTGTGTCTTTTCCAAGGGTTCTCATGCCTGGGAGGTCGACCTGGGAGGGCTGCAGAGCTGGCGGGTGGGTGTGATGCGGTTGCCCCAGGACACTGGCACAGAAGGACACTCACATAGCTGTTACCATGACATACGCTCAGGCTTCTGGTACATGTGCCGAATGCAGGGGGTGGAGGGTGACCACTGCATGACCTCAGACCCAACCACACCTCCCCTGGTCCTGGGCATCCCACGCCGCCTGCGAGTAGAACTGGAGTGTGAGGAGGGCGAACTGTCCTTCTATGATGCCGAGCGCCACTGCCACCTCTACACCTTCCATGCCCGCTTTGGGGTGGTGAGGCCATACTTCTACCTGGGGGGCATGCAGGTGGATGGGCCCCCGGAGCCTCTGCGTGTCTGCCCCTTGCGCATCAGCATCAGGGAAGAGCTGGACGGCTGAGCTTGGGCCGGGTACCACCCAAGTGTCCTTTCATTGTTTGTCCTAGTGCCTGTATTAGCCTCTACCTCTCTACCACCTGCTTTCTAGCCAGGTATCTTCCTACTGTTTTTATCCTGCCCTTTTTCTTACCTCTAGACCCTAAGCTTCTGTCTTCATGTTTGGTTCTCTACCCATAAGTCCCTGGGTGGCACGATCAGATTGGGCATGACTGCTAACCTAAAGGTTGATGGATCAAACTCTCCCAGCATTGCCACATAAGAAGGGCTTGGCAAAGTGCCATCATAAAGGTTACAGCCAAGAAAACCCTATGAAACAGTTCTGCTCTAACAAATGAAGTGGCTAGGAGTTGGATTTGACTTGACAGCAGTAGGTTTGGTAGTCATCAGGAGGGGTCTTACAGAATCCATGATCTAGAGTCACTGGCACTTTCAAGGATGTGAGCTAATTCCAGCATTTCTAGGGATAATGTTTGCTTCTAGAATGGACCCCTGCCATATCTTTGGGTAGGACCCAGAGCTCAGCTTTCCTATTGCTTTTTATTAGTGTTTAAAAATGTTCCACAGAACCTCAAGCGGTCTCTTCTGGGGAGAAGAGACTAACCTTCAGATCAGTTCTGAATTCTCTAGTTAAACACTTCTTGGGTGACTTCCAAGGCATTTAAAACAAAATGTTAAAAAAAACATGACAGACCTGTTCCCTCTGTGGGCCTCTGTTTTTTTCATCTGTAAATAAGATAGTTGATCTGGCAGATAATGTTTGTCTAGCATATGATGTCAGTCTGTCATTGCTACGGAGGAGATTCCTCTGATTAGTTTTTACAAAGGTATGAGAAAAGAAGAGAAGGAAGGCCTATTCAGTTAGGCAGAAAGGAAGGGGAAGGTCTGGTCTGAGGTGGTGCTGTGGAGTGAGGACAGAGATGCCGTGTGCTCGGCTTCCCGTTGCCTTCCTCAGCTGCCTCAGCCTCTTGCTCTGCCACTTCTGGTGTCTCCATCTTGGTTTCTTCTCCTTCTGTGGTACCTACAGACTTGTACTTCAGCCTTTATTCTACACATGCCTATAGATAGTTTTACTGTTAACTTGCTGTGTCCCTGGAAGCAGCACTGTGAAGAAAATGCTTTTCTGTAGGCAGGCTGTTAGAACTGGGGACATATTCCTGACCATGGATTCAGCATCCTCCCTCCTGCCTGTCCTCTGTAGTTCACAAAAACTGATATTTCAGATTGAAGAGTATGATTCAGGTCTTGTGTATTGGCTACCAGTGTGCTGGATATATTAGTTATACTAAAAAGTAGGAGTCAAGGAGCGACCAGGTAGGAAAGTTCACTGTGGGTAGGGACCAGGTGTAAACAGGTGGGAGTGTTGGGATGAACTGGCATGCCTCATCTGAAGGCCCCTGAACTCAAAAAAGTTTACACATCTGAAGCTAATGTGAGGCCTCTACTATAAAGTATTTGTTTAGCCCATGAAATATTTCTGTGTAATAAACTTGACCTGAAATTATTTTGTTAGCTATAATCAACTTTTAAAAATGTGTTTTTATTTGTTAGATGTTGGAAAAGTGTATTTTTTAAGGATAATTTGGATAGCCTGGAGCTCTTTTTAAAAAAAAAATAAAAATGAAATTTGAGCTAAACCCCATTATTTCTTTGGACATTATCCTTTCAGTGTTCTGGTAAGCAACAGTATTAAAGATCATCTCAAAGCCTTCTGAATTGCACTTTAAGATGGATTTTTAATTTTTTTTTTTTTTTTTTAATGACAAACACAAAATGTGAAGCCTTACCAGGAACTTTATTTGTGAAATTTAGGAAAAGAATTTTTTTTTTTTTTTTAAACTTCTTCTTATTCATCTTTCCCTCCTACTAAATAACTAAGGGGAAAAATGTTTTAACATAGGTCACAGAGACTGAGTGGAAGGATAACGGTCAGCTCCAATCCTGTTTCTTTTTTGTTGTTGATAATATACATAGCAGAACCAAGTCAACAATTTCTATGTGTTTAATTCTGTAACATTGATTACATTCTTCAAGTTATGCAGCCGTTTTCACCCTTATTTTCCAAATTGTTCTTCCCCCACTGATACAAAGTCACTGCCCCCTAAACTTATCTAACCTTTCAAGTTGCTATTGTCAGTTTGAACCCATATAGATAGTTCTTTACAAGAGCACAATACTCAAAGCAAATACTCTTTAGTAATTAAACTGTTACTTGCTTTACAGAGCCCTGGTGGCACAGTGGTTCAGTGCTTGGCTGCTAAACAAAAGGTCAGTGGTCCCACCAGCTCCTCTGCAGGACAAAAATGTGGCAGTCTGCTTCTGTAAAGATTACAGCCTTGGAAGCCCTATGGGGCAGTCCTGCTCTGTCCTGTAGGCTTGCCATGAGTCATAGTTGACTCAATAGCAGTGGGTTTACTTTTTTATTTTTGGTATTTAGTTTAAAAAAGGGGATATTTTTGGTTTAGGGTTGAAAGGTTATCTCAGGGTTGTAATTTTGGTTCAGCCTTGTTTCTTAGTGATGGGGCTGCTGTGTGCGTGCATTTCACATACCCAGGATACCACACCTTCACCTTCCATGAACACTGCTCAGCATGGGCCCTTCATTCTGTCTCAGTGACTAGAGGTGACACAGAGCAAGGACTGCTGGGCTTCTTGTAGTGCATATCTACCTCTGGGCCTACCCACCTCTCTGAGGGTGGATCTAGCAGGATCTCCACATACTTAGTAGGCATTGCACTCTGGTGGCCCCGCCATCTCTTATACATGTCTGAAACTAAACTATCCTCTCATATCCCACATTCCACTTTCCCTGAGAGTTAACCTAGAAAAATCGTTTTTAGTTTTATTTTTTAAGGAGCTCTGGTTGCATAGTGCCTAAGGCATTTGACTGCTAAGCAGAAGGCTGGCAGTTCAAACCCACCAGCCACTCCTCAAAAGGAAGACTGGGCAATCTACTTCTGTAGAGATACCACCTTAGAAACCCAAGGAGGGATTGCTATGAGTCAGAATCAACTCAATGGCAGTGAGTTTGTTTTTTGGTTATTGAGATATAATTCACATAGTAGTCAGCTCATCTACTTAAAGTATACAATTCAGTGGTTTTTAGTGTAGTCACATAGTTGTGCAACCATCACTGCAATCAATTTTAGGAACATCTCATTACACCAGACAGGAAACCCGGCAGCCTTCAACAGCCACTCCCAGTTTCCCTCCAACTCTGAACTTTCAGCCCCAAAAACCAAAACTAAACCCACTGCCAAGTCAATTCCAACTTAAAGTTACCTCCATTGGGTTTGTAAATCTTTTCAGAAGTACGTTGCCTCATCTTCCTGTGGAGCGGCTGGTGGTTTGAACTAACGACGTGGTTGGCAGCCAAATGCCTTACCCACTATATGCCACCCTAGGCAACCACTAATCTCCATTCTGTCTCATAGATAAATGAAATCATACAGTATGTAGTCTTTTGTGACTGGTTTCTTTCACCTAGTGGAATGTTTTCAAGATAAATCCATGTTGTAGCATGTATAGGTACTTCATTTCCCTTCATTAACAAATAATATTCTCTTGTATGGACATACCATATTTTAATTTCCATTCCTCAGTTGATGTACATTTACATAGTTTCCACTTTTTGGCTACTGGGAACATTCATGTACAAGTTTTTGACTGGGTATATGTTTTCATTTCTTTAGTATATACTTATGAGTGGAATTGCTGGATCTTATGATAACTCCTTGAAGTCCCTGGATGGCACATACAGTTAAGTGCTAGGCTACCAACCAGAAGGTTGGCAGTTTGAATCCATGTAGAATCACCCCAGATGAAAGGTCTGGTGATACATTTCTGAAAGATCACACTCACTGAAAACCCTGTGGAGCACAGTTCTGCTCTGATACACATCGATTGCCATGAGTCAGAATCCACTGGATGGAGACTTTTTTTTTTTAAATAACTGTATGTTCAACCATTTGAGGCATTGGCAGGCTGTTTTCCAAAGTGGCTGCACCATTTTACATTCCCACAAGCAGTGTGTGAAGGTTTCAATTTCTTTACAAACTCGCCAACACTTGTTATTATCTATTATTTTTTATTACTCTCACCATCCTAGTGGGTGTGAAATGGTATCTCATAGTTTTGATACCCTTGCTTGCCTGTTGTATTTCCATGATGGCTAATGATGTTGAACAACTTTTCATGTACTTTTTGGCCATTTGTATATCTTGGGAGAAATGTCTGTTCAGATCTTTTGCTCATTTTAAAATAGGGTTATTTATCTTTTTATTACTGAATTGTAAGAGTTTTTATATATTTTAGTTACAAGTCTGTCATCAGCTATGTGGTTGGCAAAAAGTTTCTCCCATTCTGTGGATTCTTTTCATTTCTTGATGGTGTCCTTTGAAGAGCAAAAGTTTTTAATTTTGATGAAGTCCAGTTAACTTTTGTTTCTTCAGTGCCCTAGAAATCTTGAGCTTACTTTTGACACCCCTTAAGCCCATATGATCTGAGTTCTGGGTTTTGGTTAAAGGATGAGGCAGTTCTGTCAACAGGAAGCCCTAGTCCAATATTCCATCAATTCTTTCATGAAACCCTCTCCTATACTTACCTTCCACTCTTCCGTTTCACTCTCATACTGCCTGCAGGCTTGAGGCAGCAGCCCACTGGCCAGCTTCCCTTACACCAATTTCTCGCACCTTTCAATCCATGTATTGTGCTGGTGCTAGACACTCCATCCTTAAATCTCCCTTCTGTCACCCAAAGTGACCTACCTCCCTGCCTATCTGTCCAAGTTAATCTCCCTAGTGCTGGTGTCAAACCTCATTGTTAAACCGCCTCTGCCCTTGTAACCAGAAATTTCTTCTTTCTCTCACACATGGCTCTCACCACACCAGACTTCCCATTACTCTTCAGACATTTCTATCTGGCTTCATATAGGCTACTACCTTTAGCTGGAATGTCCTGACACATCTGTCCTCTTGTCTGCTTATATTGGCTCTGCCACTTACA